GTAATAACTCCACTAATTGCTTAAAAAAAAACACCCTATTAACTTTTTATGTGTTTACTAGCTATCCCTGCCACGCGTTGCTGTGGCCCAGTCTGTTGATCTGGGAAATAAAGTAATAAGAAAGTGTTGTTTTCTAATCTATGAAATTTCTTTCTGCTTGTGGGTAAACAGTATATCTTGCTGTTTCTTTGTCAGTGTTGATGTGGAGATAGTTGCATGTTCCAGAGTAGTTTGCCTACTCTGGAACATGCAACATATCATTCTTTAAGGGTCTCTTTCAAATCTATGATACTATATCTGTGTGTGTGTGTGAATCATATCTATCTATCTATCTATCTATCTATCTATCTATCTATCTATCTATCTATCTATCATCTATCTATATGGCTGGATGGCTCTTTGTCAGGAGGACTTTGATTACGTTTTCTTGCTGATGAAGGGAGCTGGACTGGATGGCCTTAAGTATTTTCTGTTGGTCATGGGGGTTCTGTGTGGGAAGTTTGCCCTGATTCTGTTGTTCGTGGGGTTCAGAATGCTCTTTGATTGTAGGAGAACTGTGAATCCCAGTGACAACTCCAAAATGTCAAGGTCTATTTCCCCCCAACTCCATCTGTGTTCATATTTAGGAGTATTGAATGCTTGTGCCAATCCATCATTGTTTGAGTCCACAGTGCTCTCTGGATGTAGGTGAACTACAACTCCCAAACTCAAAGTCAATGCCCACCAAACCCTTCTAGTATTTTCTGTTGGTCATGGGAGTTCTGTGTGCCAAGTTTGGTTCAATTCCATCGTTGATTGAGTTTAGAATGCTCTTTGATTATAGGTGAACTATAAATCCCAGCAACTACAACTCCCAAATGACAAAATCATAACTTGGTGATGAGTGATGGTCACTCCTTGTGTTGTGAAATGTTTTGTTGCCAAATTTGGTGTGATATCGTTCATTGGTTCTTTTGTTTTTAAGGAACTCATTATGCACAGAGCATTTATATATATATAGATTGTATACTTTATTCTCATTTTTTTAATCCCCAGGAGTGGAAGACAATAAATACCCTTAAAAAATCATCTGTTGCATGTTGAGGAATTGGCTTTTGAAGAATAAGTGGCAGGTCCTTTTAAACTGACCCTTTGGATGGAACAAAACAACAACATGTGAACAATCAATCTGACTCACAATGCCATCCCATTTGTTTTTTGCTGTCAACTGCCTTCAGGTCGACTTTGACTTATGGCCACACTATGAATGGGAAAAATCCAAATCACTTGATGAAGCCATCTACACTTAATGTACCTACACTGACCATTTATATAAATAAGATGCAATGTTCGTTTGTGGGATTAACATAACTCAAAAACCACTGTATGAATTGACATGAAATTTGGACACTAGACACCTAACAGTCCAACAAGTGTCCATTACCCATAAACACACGCACACACGCACACAAAACCTAGACGGAACAGACTTAAAAACCCAAAAAATACACCATATATACATACACTCATATACATACGCACATGCACACATTCATACACACACGTATATATGTGCACAAACACACACAAATATATACATATACACACATATATATACATACACACAAAATATACATATACAAATGCACACATATATATATTATATTATTTATTTACTTTATTTCTATACCGCTTTTCTCAGCCCTTAGGCGACTCAAAGCGGTTTACACAACAATGCAAAATATCACAAAACAGTATAATGCAATTAAAACAGATTATAACATCAACAATTAACAACAGTATAACAATCATAACGCCTCAACAATAAAATCAGAATCCACTCTCATTATCCATTGTTCCGTATAAACATATACACATGCACAGACATATACATATCCACATACATACATATACACACACAAATATGCATATAGACAAGCATACACATATACACAATATGCATGTACACATATAAACACACAAATACACAAATATATACACACATATATACACCCACAAATATATATACGCAAGCACACACACACACACACATATATATACAAATATATATACACGCACACACATATATATATATATACACACACACAAAACACATATACACAGACAGGGCCACAGCAACGCGTGGCAGGGGATGGCTACTTCAATACTACTACTACTAATAATAAGTACATCACACAGTCCAAGACTTGTGATTTTGTGATACGAAATCCAGCATATATATCTCATTTGCTGTGACATACGGTGTTTTTGTGTCAATAAAACAATAAGTACAAGAAAACTGCACTCGAAACCAGAGCTGGAAGCTGACACAACAAAGAATTGCATGGGCAGTTCCCTGATAAAATTGAAGGAAAAGTTGATAAGGAGAAGACCCGGTGATGGCTCATGAATGGAACACCGAAGAAGGAGACAGAAGAAGGCCTGGTTCTTGCAGTCCAGGAGCAAGCCATCAGAACCAATGCAATTAAGGCCAGAATCGAAAAATCAGCTGATGACCCAAAACGCAGACTGTGCACTTACTTACTTAGATGATCCCTCGTTGTCCAAGTAGGATAATCCTTCAGGGTAGGTCTGTAGGTGACTATGAAGCCCTATTCTTGATCTGCATCGTCTCCCGCAGTGAGGGCACTGGTTTCCAGATGGAAGGTGATCCCGGTCGGGGTTGGCTTGATGCGCCTCCCTCTTGGCATGTTTCTCTCTTTCACCCTCCATTCGTGCCTCTTCAAATTTTGCAGCACTGCTGGTCACAGCTGACCTCCAACTGGAACACTCAAGGGCCAGGGCTTCCCAGTTCTCAGTGTCTATGCCAGAGTTTTTAAGGTTGGTTTTGAGCCCGTCTTTAAATCTATTTTCTTGCCCGCCAACATTCCGTTTTCAATTTTTGAGTTCAGAGTAGAGCAACTGCTTTGGGAGACGGTGGTCAGGCATCCGGACAACGTGGCCGGTCCAGTGGAGTTGATGGCAGAGGACCATCGCTTCAATGCTGGTGGTCTTTGCTTCTTCCAGCCCGCTGACATTTGTCCACTTGTCTTCCCAAGAGATTTGCAGGATTTTCCAGAGGCAGTGCTGAATCGTTCTAGGAGTTGCATGTGACGTCTGTAGACAGGCATATAACAGGGTTGGGAGGACAATAGCTTTATAAACAAACACCTTGGTATCCCTACGGATGTCCCGGTCCTCAAACACTCTCTGCTTCATTCGGAAAAACGCTGCGCTTGCAGAGCTGAGGCGGTGTTGTATTTTGGTGTCAATGTTGACTTTGGTGGAAAGGTGGCTGCCAAGCTAGCGGGAAGCTGATGCAAGGAAACTGATGAATTGATCATATCCTTAGCAAGAAAATCGTACAGACGGACTACAAACAGAGGCACAACTCTGTGGCCCAAATGATTCATTGGAAGTTATGTCACAAGTATCACCAGCCAGTAGTAAAGAACTGGTGGGATCATATATATCTTGTTTGCTGTGTCATAGTGTGTTTTGTGCCAGAATAATAATAATAATAATAATACACTTTTTTTATATTCTGCACCCAAATCCCAAAATTGGGCAGAGAAGACTCCAAACGATGTAAAGCTATTGCTTCCATAATTTACTAACATTGAACCCTGGCAGTTAAAGTGGTGTCAAACTGCATTAATTGGGGGACGCCTGGCTCGAGAGCAGTACGTGTGAAAAAGATCTTGGAGTCCTCGTGGACAACAAGTTAAACATGAGCCAACAATGTGATGTGGCGGCAAAAAAAGCCAATGGGATTTTGGCCTGCATCAATAGGAGCCTAGTGTCTAGGTCCAGGGAAGTCATGCTACCCCTCTATTCCGCTTTGGTTAGACCACACCTGGAATATTGTGTCCAATTCTGGGCACCACAATTGAAGAGAGATATTGACAAGCTGGAATGTGTCCAGAGGAGGGCGACTAAAATGATCAAGGGTCTGGAGAACAAGCCCTATGAGGAGCGGCTTAAGGGGCTGGGCATCCCCAAGCTGAAGAAGAGAAGGCTGAGAGGAGATATGATAGCCATGTATAAATATGTGAGAGGAAGCCACAGGGAGGAGGGAGCAAGCTTGTTTTCTGCTTCCCTGGAGACTAGGATGCGGAACAATGGCTTCAAACTACAAGAGAGGAGATTCCATCTGAACACGAGGAAGAACTTCCTGACTGTGAGAGCCGTTCAGCAGTGGAACTCTCTGCCCCGGAGTGTGGTGGAGGCTCCTTTTGGAAGCTTTTAAACAGAGGCTGGATGGCCATCTGTCAGGGTGATTTGAATGCAATATTCCTACTTCTTGGCAGAATGGGGTTGGACTGGATGGCCCAGCAGGTCTCTTCCAACTCTATGATTCTATGTGAGAGCTGTTCAACAATGGAACTTCTGCCCCGGAGTGTGGTGGAGGCTCCTTCTTTGGAAGCTTTTAAACAGAGGCTGGATGGCCATCTGTCAGGGGTGATTTGAATGCAATATTCCTGTTTCTTGGCAGAATGGGGTTGGACTGGATGGCCCATGAGGTCTCTTCCAACTCTTTGATTCTATGATTCCATCTGAACATGAGGAAGAACTTCCTGACTGTGAGAGCCGTTCAGCAGTGGAACTCTCTGCCCCGGAGTGTGGTGGAGGCTCCTTCTTTGGAAGCTTTTAAACAGAGGCTGGATGGCCACCTGTCAGGGGTGATTTGAATGCAATATTCCTGCTTCTTGGCAGAGGGTTGGACTGGATGGCCCATGAGGTCTCTTCCAACTCTTTGATTCTATGATTTTACAGCGGAGATGCGCCCTGATTCTATCCCACCGCGAGCTACATGACAACTCGGCGCGCCGTAGCCAATCAGCGCTCAACGTTCTCTCCCAACGTTCCATTTTCTCCTCCTGTCAATCAATCGGAAGGAGGAGGAGAGGGGAGAAGCGCATGCATGGCGTCGCAGCCGACGTGTCAAGACGTCACTGCGCAGGCGCACTCCTTTGTCTCCAGCCGGCCTCCACGAAGTTGCTTCTTCTTAGCGCAAGGCGTCTTTGGTCTGTGTGTGTGTGTGTGTTTTTTTTAACCTTACCCAGGAGCCTTTGCGAAGTGGCAACGTCGCCGGCAAATGGCGGAGGCGGTGTGTGTGCGCGCCTGCGCAGTGAGGAGCGAGGCAGAGACGCCGACGCCGGGCGAGAGAGAGGCTGACTGAGTGCAGAGAGGGGTTTCCGGCCTCCTTCTTCCAGAGGTAAGGGCCCTGAGTTCGGATTCTGCCATATATATATATATATATATATATAGAGAGAGAGAGAGAGATTCCTCTCTGAAGGGAAAGGTATTTTAGGGTGCAAAGCCTGAGGGAAAGGAATGGCCAAAGCAGGCCTGGGCAAACTTAGGCCCTCCAGGTGTTTTGGACTCCAACGCCCATAGTTAGGGATTGTGGGAGTTGGAGTCCAAAACATCTGGAGGGCCGAATTTTCCCATGCCTACTCTATAATAATAATAATAATAATGTGACACATTATAATATGTATATAATGTGTAATGTGTGTGATTGAAAAAATCAACTTATATCCCCATACCAAAAAAGGGAAATGCGAAAGACTGCTCAAACTTCCGTACAATGGCCCTGATAGGGCCTTCTCGGTGGTGGCTCCTCGGTTGTGGAACGCCCTTCCTACGGACATTAGACTAGCACCATCTCTAATGGTATTCCGCAAAAAAGTGAAGACCTGGCTGTTTGAGCAGGCGTTCGAATAATTAGTGCAATGATTGGTTAATGAAAACTGGAATGGAACAATGGATGATGAATCTGGAACATGTTTTTGATGACGAGACGACAGTGAATGGGTATTGTAGTAACTGTTTATTAATTGTGTAATGTGTTAGGTTGTTAACTGTTTCTATACTGTAGCACTGAATTTTTTGCTGTTCGTATTTGTTGTGAACCACTGTGAGTCGCCTTCAGGCTGAGAACAGTGGTATATAAGTAAAGTAAATAAATAAATATATAATAATTTGCATCAAATAATAATAATAATACAATATGATGGTAATAATAATATAATGTCTTATATGGGCCCCCTGATGGTGCAGCGAGTTATAATAATAATAATAATAATAATAATAATAAGGTGTGTAGTATAATATACAATAATTTGCATCTAATAATAATAATAATAATACAATATGATGGTGATAATAATATAATGTCGAAGTTATAATGTATAATGTATAAGTCACAGAGCTGCTGAACTAGCTGATTCAAAGGTCAACGGTTCGAATCCAGGCAGTCGGTAGAATTTGTGCTGTTAGCCCTAGCTCCCGCCAACCTAGCAGTTTGAAAACATGTGAATGTGAGTAGATCAATAGCTCTGTGACTTATACACTATACATTATAACCTGGCTGTTCCAACGTGCCTTCTCAGATTAGGAACCCCACTACCAAAGCCCAGAAGCACTTTAGTAGAGTCAAGATCACCCTCACCGCACACTGCACTTATATTTTAATCCCATATCCCTCCGACACTTCAGCACTTTTTAATCCTGTACCCTACTCCGGCCGGCTCAGTTTTTAATAATGTCCTGTTGTATTGCTATTGCTATTGTTTTCTGCTTTAACTGTTTTATTTGCTATGTATTGTATTGTTGTATTGTGTTGGGCTCCGGCCTGTTGTAAGCCGCATCGAATCCCTTGGGAGATGCTAGCGGGGTACAAATAATGTTATAATAATAATAATAATAATAATAATAATAATAATAATAATAATAAAACCACAGTGATCCACGCCGTAGTTACCTCCAGTCTGGACTATGTTTTTAATGTGCTTAATAGTTTAATTCAGTTTTAATGTTAACTTCTTGCATGTTTTAATTGCAACCTTTCAAATGTGTAAACCTCCTTGAACCCCAGGCTTGGAAAAAAGGCAAGATCTAAATTAAGTCAATCATTATATTCTTATAAATGGCTAAATAGTCAATTTAAAAGATTTAATTGAAACCCACATCTAGCTATGAGAGTGTAGTTGTGTTTGTGCATATAACATTCAGGAAAGGCAGGTAAACGGGTAGTTTTCTCTCCAAAAATTGCTCCCTCTGATGAAATGAATGTCAACGGTTGACATTTATTTTCCCCAGGATGCGGCCAGAAGCCATAGGCAATGCACTCTACGTGGGGCTTCCCTTGAAGACGGCCAGGAAACTTCAGCTGGCCCAGCATTCGGTAGTCAGATTAGGTTCTTGTGGGTTTTTTCGGGCTATAGGGCCATGTTCTAGAGGCATTTCTCCTGACGTTTCGCCTGCATCTATGGCAAGCATCCTCAGAGGTAGTGATTCCAGCCATGAGAGCCTTCGACGGTAGCCAGATTATTATTTTTTTTGTTATTTATCGTGTCAGGGCAACCAGTTGATTATATTACATTTCTAACAGAACAAAGCAAACAAACAGACAAAATACAAAATTTGTAAGTTTGGTAGTTGATTAAATGTCCTTTGACCAGTATCTGGCCACTTGGAGTGCCTCTGGTGTTGCCGCAAGAAGGTCCTCCATGGTGCATGTGGCAGGGCTCAGGGTGGATTGCAGCGGGTGGTCAGTGGTTTGCTCCTCTCCACACTCGCATGTCGTGGATTCCACTTTGTGGCCCCATTTCTGAAGGTTGGCTCTGCATCTCTGTTCAGCGCCTTCCAAGTCGTCCAGTCCTGTGTGCCCAGGGGGGAGTCTCTCATTTGGTATCAGCCATTGGTTGAGGTTCTGGGTTTGAGCCTGCCACTTTTGGACTCTCGCCAGATTATTAACAGGGTGAATTACAGGGAGCGGTCAACCCCCCTGTTTAAGGAACTCTGTTGTCTGCCATTCATTTTCTGGTCCCAATTCAAGGTGCAAGTTTTGACGTACAAAGCCCTGAACGGTTTGGGACCCGCCTACCTTCGTGACTGCATCCCCTTCCATAAACCCGCATGACCTCTTTGATCTTCAGGGGAGGCCCTCCTTTCACCCTTTCCTCTATCACAGGTACGACTTGTGGGTATAGAATCATAGAATCAAAAAGTTAGAAGAGACCTCATGGGCCATCCAGTCCAACCCCCTGCCAAAAAGCAGGAATTGCATTCAAATCACCCCTGACAGATGGCCATCCAGCCTCTGTTTAAAAGCTTCCAAAGAAGGAGCCTCCACCACACTCCGGGGCAGAGAGTTCCACTGCTGAAGCCATTGTTCCGCATCCTAGTCTCCCTCCTCCCTATGACTTCCCTTCACATATTTATACATGGCCATCATGTCTTTGGCTTAGAAATGGAGATGAGCACCACCCCTCAGAGTCTTTTTCATTCATGACTAGATTTAATGTCAAAAGAAACCTTTCCCTTTAATGTGTATATAATAATAATATGAGAGTTTCCGGTCCAACTTACCTATCTGAATGTATCTCCCTATATAAACCAGTTAGAGCATTATGAATAGGCACAGAAGGTCCTACTCTCGGACCCACTGCCCTCACAGGTGCGATTGGTGGAGCTGAGAGATGGTGCCTTCTTGGTGGTGGCACCTCGGCTGTAGAATGAGTCGCCGATTTAGGCTGAGATATTAGCGGTATACAAGTGTATTAAATAAATAAATAAATAAATAAATAAATAAATAAAACACCCTCTCCAGTGACATCAGATCCGACCCCTACTTAAAATGTGGCTTTTAAAGCAAGCATTTGAAGAGTGAGATGAAGCAGCCAAGATAACTTTGGGATTCGTGCAGTGTCCAATGTTCTATGTTTTATGTTGTTTATATTCAATGTGTCATACTTTACTGGTTTTAATTTATTGTAATATGCTGTTTTCATAGAATCATAGAATCAAAGAGTTGGAAGAGATCTCATGGGCCATCCAGTCCAATATTTGTGGTCTCAAGCATTTCAGATAACTGATATTAAACTCGTATAGCACAACCACTGTACATGGTGCCTGCTATTTAACAAGTAAAATAACAAAAAAACAAAAACAAAAAACAGTTACTTTCCTTCAGGCTTGCAATCTGTTTAAGACATCACATGAAACGAAAAAGGGATGGAGGTGTGGAAGAGTAGAGGACTTATAATTTAAGGGGTGGGGGGAGAGAACTTACATTTTAGCATTAGCTTTTCTGGATAGCAATGCAATAGAGAATTATATTAGAGCCTCATTATTATTACATTTTTGTGATATTTATTTATATCCCTGAAGATCTCTTGTTCACCTCAGGTGACAAAACATAGTTGCACATCTGTGGTTTGGGACAGAATCTATTTGGATCCAAAAAGATGCGAATCAATATCCTCACATGAAATATTCTCCTATTATCATACGGCCATCTCATATTCAAAGGCCTGTTCGAGATGTTGCAGACCTTTATAATGGTTAGCTACTAGGCCTGTGCGGTTTCGTTCGTTAATTCGTTATTAATTCGTTATTTTTGGCATTTCCGAAGCGATATTGAAACATATTTCCAAACCCGGAAGGGTTTTTAAATATCGAACCAGCAACCCCCATAGATTTAACGAGCCTCCGCTCGTTTCGTTAATGGGGTGGAGGCTGCTGGAGTGCTGGTGCCTGGGAGCCAATCCGGCGCTCCCAAGCAGTGCACCATGGGTCCGTGGCTGTCTGTTTTTGATTGGCCGGCGAGCCCTTTCAAAGCGGCTCCGCGCGGCCCGTAGCTTGCTGCAGAGGGCGAGGGAGTTTGCATTGGGTTGGCTTGGCAATGGCTGCTAGCAACTGGGATTGGATTCATTCCTTGCTGCTGTGAGTGCTGCTTGCTTCATTTGCTGTCTCTTGCCTGTGTTTGGTCCACATTTGGGCCATTTTTTGGTTAATTTTCCATTTTAAAATATTTTTTAATATTATTTTTTAATATTATTTTTAATATTATTTTTTAATATTATTTTTTAATATTATTCTTAAAAAATATTCTAAAAAAGAAAAGACTCTTCTGTTGGTGTGTGCTCTCATTTGCTGTATCCTGCCTGTGTTTGGTCCACATTTGGGCCATTTTTTGGTTAATTTTCCATTTTAAAATATTTTTTATATTATTTTTAATATTATTTTTTAATATTATTTTAATATTATTCTTAAAAAATATTCTAAAAAAGAAAAGACTCTTCTGTTGGTGTGTGCTCTCATTTGCTGTATCCTGCCTGTGTTTGGTCCACATTTGGGCCATTTTTTGGTTAATTTTCCATTTTAAAATATTTTTTAATATTATTTTAATATTATTTTTTAATATTA